TGAGCATGTGGCGGAGTACCCGGCGATGCTAGAGGGAAAATGGGAAGGACACCGAGGAATGACGGAGAAGGAACTGGCGACTCTGTATGGGGAGAGACTGTGGAGTATGGAAACTGACTTTCTTGGAACTGAACATGACGAGATATGTATATGCGACCGGAGGTGATATCAAAACAGCGATACCCCTTGGAGGAGGAATCGTACCCAAGAAAGACACAAGGTTTGGACCGGGGCTGGAACTTATTTGTGATTCCGTGGCGTAGACACGGGTAGGCTAAGCAGCCAAATACTCGGAGAAGACTATAGTCTGGGGATTTTTGAAACAGAGACTCAAAGGGAGATTTGTGATTAAGGGACCTTTTAGGCATGCAATTTATCAGGAAATTGGCAGTAGCCAACGCCTCGACCCAAAATTTAGCTAGGAGATTGGCGGTACAGAGTAGTGTGACAAGAGTTTCGACCAAGTGACGATGCTTTCTTTCAGCGACACCATTTTGTTCAGGAGTATATGGACAGGATTTTTGGTGAAGAATCCCCAAGTTTTGTAAAAATAACCCAAACTTTTTATTGACATATTCCCGCCCATTATCTGTGCGAAAGAGTTTAAGGTGCACATTGAACTGAGTACGAACCATGGATTGAAAACTTTGAAAAGCATCAAACGCATCAGATTTATTTTTAAGAGGGTACAACCAACAGAACTTGGTATAATCATCAATAAAATTAATGTAAAAATGATATTCCCCAAAAGAGGGTACATAGGTAGGTCCCCATACATCAGAATGAATAAGTTCAAACGGAGCAGATGTTTTAGTATCTGACACTGGGAAGGGGAGTTTATGGGACTTGGCAAGAGAACATGAATTACAATGATCAAGATGCTGAAACTTAAAACCTAATTGAGACAATAAGGACTGAGTGACTTGAACTGAGGGATGACCAAGACGGCAGTGCCATTGATACGGAGTGACTTTGACGGAGTTGACCACCAGAGATGAACTTGATGCCGGTATGGAGTACAGGCCACGCTCACAAGGGCCCTTGAAAAGGACTTGATTGGTTAGGTTGTCCCGAATCGTAAAATCCTTAGAGGTAAAAAGAAGAGAGCAGTTATTATCTTTAGTAAATTGATAAATAGAAAGAAGATGGGAATTAATGTGAGGAGAATGAAGGAGGTTGGATATGTGAAAAGTATGGTGGGGTGTGGTTAATATACCTGAGCTTGTATGGTCAATAGGATATGTGTTACCTCCCGCAGTCGTGATGGAGTTGGTGCCATGATATGGTGACATAGAATTCAGCCGGGATAGATCAGACGTGACATGAGTGTTTGCGCCAGTGTCTAGGTGCCAGTTCGAACCTGATTCAATGGATTGATTTGCATAATACGCCGGCGGAGGACCAGTGTATGATTCGTCGTAGCGGTGCCAACAGTTCCAGACCGCATGGCCAGGCTTCCCACACAGCTGGCAGGTGACGGACACCCCTCGGCCACCTCCTCTGCTGCGGGCGTCGTCACGGTACTGCGGCTGCCGTCCGCCTCTGCCGCCGGGTTGACTGCCGCGGTAAGGCCCTCCTCAGCCTCGCAGTGGTCCTCGGCCACGACCTCTACCAGTGCCTCGTCCGGAATTAGTGAAAAGTGCATTATGAATGTCAACGGACGAAGTAGAGCCGGAGTCACCCAGAGATAATTTTTTCTCAAAAGATAAGTTCAATTCTTCGGACAACAACCAAGAGGAGACCTGATTAAACGTGACGGTGGCAATATTGGTGCGAATATTCTGCTTGAGGGAGGCATAGTCGGCCGGTAGACCGCGAAGAACACAGAGAATAATATCTTGTTCAGAAATTGCTTCATGAGCCAGTTTTAGAGATGACACAATTGTGAGAACAGTGTCCAAATAGGATTGCGTCGAATCGGTCCCTTTAGTAACACCATGTAGTCGCTCCTTCAGTTGAAAAATATGAGTTCGTGAAAGAGAATTGTACCGTTGTTCTAGATGATTCCAGATTGCAGCCGAGGTGGGAAGAGCATGAATATGTGTTTGAACCGTGGGTGAGACAATAGCAAGGAGACAGGCCCGAATTTGAGCATCAACAATATTCCATGATTCATAGGCCGGATTTAGTTTCATGACCGGCGGTTCATCCTTGCCGGGTGCCGCAGCCTTCTCATCAAGGACAAAAGACGATGGAGACGGTTCAGATCTATCCACGTAGCCGAGGAGACGATGAGCGAGGAGATTTGCACGGACAGTGGCCGACCAAGAGGGATAATTGGTGTCATCAAGCTTGACCGGAGTGAGGGATTGAAGATTCCGGACAAACAACTTGAGACCCGTAGGAAGACGATCCATAGGATCAGACGAGACAGAAGCCATGGCTGTGCACGGCATGATCGGCAGTGAAGAAATCGGCTCTGCCGATTTTTTTCTCGATGATTAGCGCAGCAAAGGAAGAGAGAGACGAGGATCGTTGTGCTCTGATACCATGTTGATTTAATAATCCAACTCAACTGAATAATTGTATACATGGGTGTTTATATAGGTGAGGATCCCTACATGAATTAGGATTCACCAAATATGTAAACTAACATAAATAACACTTCTACCATAACTACACTTCTTGCCATATATGCCTAACAATAGGAAAGTGACAAAAGTGTAATATATTAATGTGATCAGTCAAGCGTTGCTTATCCCCAATGGCACTTTGGTGGCTGACGGCGACGAATGATAACGTGGCGGTAATAACGTAGCAATTATAATATGATAATGTGGTGAGTGTAACAATGTAACAATAACACTGTGAATTCTTATTTTAATTTGAAAAGAACTCTAACTTTGATTTTAATATATTTTCCTAATGTTTTACTCCTATTTAATGAGTTTATTCTTTGAAAAAGGAGATAGGGAGTAATATAAGATTAAAAATTCAAGTAGTTTGAATTGAACGTTAAAGTAGGATGAGTCTTCTGGACAGTGGTTCTAGAATATGTGACTAAAATGTACTCGCAAAAGTAAATTTGGAAAAGATGGGTTTGACGTCATTAAAAAAATGAGGCACTGAACCAGAAGACCGTAGACGTCGAAAAATAAAAAAAGTGGTATTGACTATTACTGCTTCCATCCGTATTTAGGGCCTGTTCTTTAGAGCTTGAACTCTTAATTTCCAGTTCTTTTTAGTTTCTTCCGGCTTCTTCCAGTTTTTCCAGTTCCTTCCAGTTTCTTCCTGTTTTTTCCAGTTTTTTCCAATTTCTTCTAATTTCTTCCAACTATATTTATTTTCTTCAAATTCTTTCTACGAAAATATATTATTACAATTATTATTACAACTTTTTTTAATTACAACTTTTATGTTCATAACTATAGTTTATAAATAAATTATTTTATTTTTTCATCTCACTATTTTTATGATTCACATTCATTCTTCCAGTTTCTTCAACTTTTTAATATGAATAATACCGTTTTTTTGTATATTAATCTACATGAAAAATTAGGAAACTATTTAAAAAATTATGGATAAATAGTTATATAGAATATTTTTTTATCTAAATTTATATAAGGTAAATTACATTTAAGGGTCTAGAAGAATAATATTATAAAAACCAAGAGAAAACTACATTTTGAAAAACAAAAAATGACCCAAGAAGTGTAATATTTATGCTAATTTTATATTCTAATTATTTTTTTAAACTAGCTTTTTATATATATAAAATAATACTCGTAATATTTTTTTTTATCTTAAAGACAATCATTAAGAAAACGTGATAACACCACCACTACAACCACCACCACCACCACCACCACCACCAACAACAACAACAACAACAACAACAACAATAATAATAATAATAGTAATAATAATAATAATAATAATAATAATTTATAACAACAAGAATCAGAATGAGAATAATATAAAACCACAGATAAATTTTTTTAAAAAGTTTTTTAATTTTTTTCAGTTTTTCCAATTTTTTCCAGTTTCTTCCAGTTTCTTCCAGTTCCTTCCAGTTCTTCCAGTTTCTTCCAGTTTCTTCCAACATCCAGCTCTTTTTTTTCAGTCCTTAAGAACATGCGCCCTTAATCTCTTTCTATTTAAGGGGTATCTTTTTTTATATCAAAACTTATAAATTTGACTTCGTTATACAAAAACAATTACATTGTATTTTGATATAAATATAACATTAACAGTTTCTCTAAAACGAAGTTTTGAAATATTATTATTATATATATATATATATATATATATATATATCAATTGTCAAAATTTTATATTGGTGACCCTGAAAAGTCAAATAAAAGATTAAATTTGGACGTAAAGGGTACGGAGTACAATGTAATACTCCCTCCATTTTTAAATTTTCTTCCCATTATGTGTTATAATATTTAGCTAAATTTATTTTTGATTCATTTTATATGATAATTAGTATGAAATTAAAATATGAAGAGTATATATTTAAAATTATCTATATCAAAATATTTACAAAACTAATGGGGGCATGACTATATTATATTATAAAGGAAAAATTATCTCAAATAATCCTACCTTTTCACACTCTTTCAAAAATAATCCTACTTTTCACCGTTCCTAGAAATAATCTCACCTTTCCGCATGTGTGTAAGTTTTGGATCGCCGTTAAAAAACTAACGGCCACTTAACGAAATTTCCAAAAAATGTATGTTTTTCGCAAATAAATGTTTTTTTCAAATAAATGAAAGGTGGAATTATTTTAGACAAATTTACTTTTTATTTTTTTTAAATTTTAAAAAAGTAATATTTTTAAATATGGATCAAAGTATATAATAGGACACTCTTGTTAGAGAATCGATCAAAGTATCGGTCAAGAAAGAAATTGCAATACAAAAAAATTGTAGCTTCAAATTTTATCTTATTTATTTACTTATTTTTGTTAGCTATTTGTTAAAATAACATAGTTGCATCATCTTTTAATTTTTTTATTGATAATTTTATGAAGTTTTTAAATAGTTAAATTTTATTTTGAAATTTTGTGTGTCATTATTTAAATAAGTTATATTGAAAACAAATCAAGTCAAATTTTGTTATTTGTAATGAGACAATTAATTCGAAACAAATGAAGTATACATCTTATGTGTCAAAATATCATTCCATTTACTATTTACATTTTCAAATATCACTGCGGGGTATTACATTTTCATGTGTATTTTATTGACAATTTGGTAAAATAATATAGTCAAAGATCCTCTGCCTATATAGAAATAATTTAGCCATAGTTCTAATTAAATATATAAATTACTTTTTCAGTCTACACTAATTTTTCAAATGAATTGAATCATAAATAATTTCAATCAAACATCGTATACTATCATAACAATCTTAACATAGGGAGGATACATAACTGATATTTCTTAAGCCACAACCATCAGTTTGAGCTTTTTGTTGAGTTGAGTCTGACATGGTATCATCTAAGCCTTGTTTACTAAAAGATCACGAGTTCGAAAATCAGCACCACTCAGTTAAGATTTCACGTGCAAGGCTTATACTACACCTGCACGTGAGAGGACATGTTAGAATATAAAAAATCATTCTTTGACAATAGTCATAAGCTTAAACTTTTGATTGATCTACATTGGCTCCTTGAAAGACACTATATGCTAAAAAAGTTAGAAAAGAAAACTTTATTTGGGACCTATATAAGATGGTATCATCTTGGCAACCTATGCCAATACACATTAGTTGTACTTACCATCACACACTCATCACACATTGCATTGCCCCAATCTAGCTAACTAATAACTTCTAAAATGGGGGGGAGTGACCTAGCCGCCATCAAGAAGAAGGAAGAAGAAGAGAAGACGACCAAACAAGAACAACTCACTCCTCCAGGTCATTTGTTTATATTATATTTCATACTCCTTCCATTCCGTCTCAAAAAATGTCACATTATGCACTCCTCCAGGTCATTTGTTTATATTTCATACTCCTTCCATTCAGTCTCAAAAAAATGTCACATTATCACGAGAATTTTTGTTTATTTGTATGTTTCTATTGATTATTTGATAAAATAAAATAGTATTGACACCTCTTATTTTAAAGAATTTTTCATGTATTTTTCAAATATATAAAATTTATTTTTTTTATTTGTATACAAATATTTAAGTAAAATGAATTGAAAAAATTTAATTTTTTACCTCGTTTTGTGAAATGTGGCAAATATTTTGGGGTGGAGAGGTATATGAATGCCATAGGTATCATATCCCAAGCATGACTCGTTTATACAAAAAATAAGATTTTTTATAATTTTTATTCTCAAAATTAATTATACTATTGTAGTGTGAGGATATATATATATATATATATATATATATATATATATATATATATATATATATATATACCCAATTACCCAAAGGTTTGAAATATTTGCACTAAATAGCACTAAAACTTAAGTTATTTCTCTAAATAGCACTTAAATTGTTTTATTCCCTAAATACTCCCTCCGTTCCACAAAACTCTTCCTCTTTCGTTTTTTTTGCTTTCCACAAAACACTTCCATTTTCTATTAAAAAACCACTTTTACCCCTACTTTTTCATACCCTACCTATCACATCATACCTTTTCACTAATAACCAAACTATCACATCTTACTTTTTCCCATCACATCAGGGGCAAAATTAGAAAGTCAACCAAAATTGCACTTTCTTTATTTTCCCCCAAAGTCAAAACCGAAAGGGTTTTGTGGAACGGAGGAAGTAGTACTTAATAATATCTATAATGACCAGTGATGGCAAACATTTACTTGAATAATGACTAATGGATAATGACTAAAACTGCTACATTGAGAAAAAACACATGTAGTGCTATTTAGGAAAAGTCATTATGTTTTAATGCTATTTACGTAAATTCCTCCAAAAGTTTACCGGTTTTTTGTTTTAAATTCAATAGTTTATGGTTTTGGTTGAGTTATTGTTGGAGTTCCCACGTCGGAAAATAATGATGAACCACTAGCATATATAGAAGGGTGAAGCACTACCTGTCAACTTAAGCCTCTGGGTTAGAATGGTAGATCTCAACACTTTATATGCAAGTGCTTAATTTTATCCGACACTTCATCTGTTGTATTCGGACTAGAAATTTTAACAATTATTATTTCTTCTTCTTCTTGTTTTATATTTGAAGGTTATCCACGTATGGAGTCACCACCGGACAAGAACAGCAAGAATCCGTCTCACCACAAGAGAGGAGGTGGTGGTCAGAATCAAACCGGTTGGTGTGACCTGTAAGTTACTCCCTCCGTCCCTAAATAAACTTCCTTTTTTTGACTTTCTGAGGATTTAAGGGAGAGATATTTTTGTGTTGACTTTCCAAAAATACTCTTGATGTGATGTGTAAAAGTAAGATGTGATATGTAAATTATTAGTAAAAAGGTATGATGTGATAATAGGTAGGGTATGAAAAAGTAAGGGGTAAAAGAGGTTTTTAATTTTAAGGGAAAAGTGAAGTTTATTTGGGGACAAAAAAAAAACGAAAGGGGAAGTTTATTTAGGGACAGAGGGAGTATTATTCCTTCAATCGCTTAATCATGTTTTTGTTTGTTTTTTTAGTCATCCGTACAACATTTTGATCATTAATAATAACTCCTTTCCTTCATCAAAATGGTTTCGATTTTGACTTTTGTAAGATTTATTTTTCTAATTTGATTTTTTAATTAAATCCTTAACGACGAAAAAGAAAGAGAGACAAATTATTTAAATAAATTATTATATCCATGTAAAATAGATGGAGTATATTGCAATGACTTTATTTAAATGTATTAGCCATTTTAATTTAAAACAAGTATTTTGATGAAAACCAAAAAAATGAAATAGATGATGCATTAGTGAAGGGAGGGAGCATTTGCATCCCAGAATAATGTTTACGTTTTACGGAGTACATTATGGTGGAGTATTTATTTACGATCTGTTTTGAAAAAAAGAAAGATATACTTTCTCTGTTCCATAAAGTCAGTCCTGTTTCGAAAAATTTGTGTCCCTTAAAGTCCGTCTCATTTCGATTAAAAAACCACTTTTACCATTTACTTTTGCATACCCTGATAGTCTATCACTAAGTTTGATTCAAAGAATTTGAGAAGGAAATGAAAAGAAAATGAGAAAGGAAAATATTTTTTTTTGTTTGGTTAGAGGGGAAAAGAAAAAAAAGTGGAAAGAAAAGAAAATAAGAAGACAAAATGTACAAAGATGAGAGAAAACCAAATTTCTTCCATTTCAATGAGGAAAATGAGGTAAAATCATTTTCTTTTCTTTTCCTTCCAAATTCTTTGAACCAAACATAGTGTAAATGAAATCCACCTAAGAATTCATAGATTTTAACAATAGCTAAATGCGGAGTAAGTGTTTTTATGCATCTAATTTACTTTCTTAATTACGAGTAACTTTTTTTAAAGATCGGAGACTTTATTCTTAGAACAATTATTTTTACAACATTTCTTAAAACAATGCAATCAGGGCACCTACAGTGCTTCGTTTGTAAAATTGATTATTATTCCACCTTCCATGACCCCCGGTAGACCCCCACGCCCGGCCCCGCCCTAACGCGCACTCGCATCCCCTCCAATCTCGCTCATAACTTTTCATTTTTTTGATTTTGTGGGCAAATATTTGACCAAAATGATGGGTATTGCAATTAGAGGGGGTGCAAGGTGCGTTAAAGCCGGGCCGGGTGTGGGGATTAACCAAGGGAATTATGAGGTAGTAATAATCTATTTTACGAACGGAGCACCATGGGTATTCCGAGTCTATTGTTTAAGAAATGTTCTAAAAATAATTATGGTAAGATTAAGACAAATCATGTACGGAGTACAATCTACAATTGCTATATTGCAACCCAATCTCTGATATGCTCCGTACGTATTTGGTTTGGATTATGCAGCATCAAGGCGGTGTGGGCTTGCCTAACATGTGAAAACTGCGATTGGAAGGAGTTTTTCGGTTCAAATCCTGAAACCAAAAATTGAAATTGGTTCGGTCCGAAATTTATATTTTGTATCCCATTTTATAAGTTTAAAATATTTATCCTTCAAAACTAATGATGAATTTTAAAAAAATATGACCATAAAATATTAGGGGTGGTGTGCGGTTGGTCACTTTACACGCTGTCCAGACCACCCATGCGAAACATAACTGGCTTGCCGCAAGATGCTGTTACGGATATACGACAGATGATGATATTTATTATTATTGTAATTTAGTTTTAATTAAAATAATAGGTCATAATTATAAGTTCTATCAAGGATTTTTTTTGATTCTTTCTTTTGGATGCTTTTCTTGATCTTGCACTATTAGAATTTGAGAAATTTACTTAAATAGCACTACATAGCACAATAAGTTTTAATTTCCATAACTAGTACTCTATCCATTCTAAAAAAGAGTTCCTAGTTTGACCAAGTGTAAAAATAAGTTAATGCTAAATTGTAGATGACTTCCAATTTTGTTCTTTTTGATATGATGGATAAAAGTAAGATGTGATGGATATATTATTAGAGAAAAAATATGATGTGACGGTAAAAGTGGTATTTTAATAGAAAATGAATGTGCTTTGTTGAAAGTGGAAAAAATGAAGAGACAATGTTTTTGAGAACGGAGGGAGTATCTAATTAATTAATTATTAATTATTAATTCTAGTGTACTAAAATGCCCTTTGTATAATTTTATATTAACTCACGTCCTACTATCCTTCGCATAAGTTGACGAATCAAGGAAAGAGACAATTGATCAAAGGGAGAAAAAATATATAGTCTATATTTTATACGGAGTAAAAAATAATAAGATACAAAGGTGTTTTAGTAGATGCATATTATTAATAATTATTTAATTAATTAATTTAATGTTATATTTGGAAACAAACTTGTTGAATGACATTTGAGGAAAAATGTATTGTTAAGTTTTGGTTCTAGTTTTCAATCTATATATACAAGAAGTGTTTTAGATCTTCTTCTCTCTTTTTCTTTTAGAAGCCTCAAGTTTTGGGAATAAACATTAAAAATTAGCGATACTTAGCTTAGCGAAGGGATATAATGAAATCCAATATAATTACAATACTCCCTAATTTTCAACGGAAAATGCTGGAGTCACAAACATATAATTCACAAACTTGTCTTTTATAGATTTTAAATTAAAATATCTTTTATTATTTGAGTCAATCTTATTTTTAAAAAAGTGTTAAAAAGGCAAGTTTGTGAATTTTGTGAACTATTTGTTTGTGACTTTAGCATTACTCATTCTCAACAACAATAACTACGAAATTTGGCTCTGAAATAATTCATGATCGGATAATATAGGAAAACAAGAGTAATGTTATTATTTAGAAAATTTTTAATGATTTTTTTTAGGAAAAATGAATGTATTAATCAATACGAATAATATCGAGTACAAAGTCCTGTTGCCAAAGCTGCATCCGAGGCCGGTAGGAGGGCGCGATATGCATATTTGATCGAGTAGTGCCCCCTGGAAGTGAGACGCCAGAGTCAGAGACAAGTGATGGAGAAAGGTGAATCTCAAGAATAGCTTCAACGTCAACGTCGTTGAATATTGCAGAGTGATGACAGATCCCAAGAGCAGTTCGAAATGAATGTTGCAACTCGAAGGTCATGACCTTGATACCCCGTGGTTCGAAAATCTTAAATGTTTAAAAATCGGATTTCACCAAAGCCACCCACAAAGAGTATCATTTCAGTACACTCAAGCAGCAAATTTTTAGGCAAAAACTAAGCTATTCTGGCGAAGCCACAAATCAACAAGACCCATCAAGCATCTCTCTAGTGCTATATATGTGTATATATATCACAGTGAATGAGGTGAAGGGAAAAGCTTTTCAAGCATGTTGTTAGAGAGGATGTGATTCGGGTCCAACTCCTCGCGCGCTCTATTGTACTCCTCCACGGGGAATTTCTTCTTTAGCCTCTCCTCAAGTGCTTTTAACTCTTCCCCTTCTCTTGGAACCTAAAGATCTCACACACACACACACAAGGATACAACTTTCTTCACTCACAATCGACACCATTCCGAATACAAACAAACAAACGAATTACTTATTCTTACCTCAATCTTCGCCCAATGTTCGTATGCGGAATAGTGATCCCACAAATGTGCTTGAGTCAAATGCCTGTAGTGGAAAAATTCCTCCTTGATCTGTTTCCGTTGTCGAGCATCCATTGTTGGAAGATACATAATTATGCCCACCTGGAAATCAAACAGTTCAAACTTTTCTTCTTCCTTTTAACAAAAATTAAGTGTTCAAAGATTAATGAAAATGCTCACCCATGAGAAAATGTCGTCCTCCGCGGAGCTATAAGCTGGGCTCATGAGGCTCTTGCTGCAAGATGTCCATCTCTGCTCAATAGGTGCAGGAGCAGGTATACTTTCTTTCTCTATAAGCTGCATCAGTTGCTCTATGTATTCCAGATCTTTCATGCTTGGTTTTGATAAGGTGCCCGCAGGAAAACAAGTTTCGGATACCCACTGGTGACCTCCGCAATCAAACCCCAAAATTTCATCACTCAGCCCTACCCTATACCCTTCTGACTTCCTCCAAAATTCTGCTTCGGCAAGATTGATTTTTTTTACATGTTCTGTGTTCAGTGGATCCAGAGCAAGTAACTTCTCCCTAAGTTCAGTAAATGAGAGTCCGTTAATTGTCTCTGGTCCATTATCATCCGGAGGTGTGATGTTATCAGCTGATGTACCTCTGCAATTAAAGCAATATAGTTGTTCAATGACTCCCTCTAGTATGATCATATAGTAAATGCAAAAAAAAAAAGAGAGAAAAACCCTGTATACCCGTATTTCTTCAATGAATCCCTGTAGAGATCTTGTACATGTTGTATAGCTTCTTCTGTGGTATATTTAGGCTTATACTTTGGCGGACCCTTCCTTTTAGAGATAGGATTACATGCTACAACCACAACAGCATCGGTGTACGGAATGTGCAAATATTTCACGTGCTTGTTCTCGGACAGCAATTTTCTGCGGTAAGCTGATGCCATATTCTTTACTATTTCAACATAAGTTACACAAGTGGTCAAGATAGTCTTGATGAGACATGTGACATAACGACATGCATATTGCAACACGGTGCAATAATTATGAAGAATGTATATGGAACTTAAATGTGTCCATTTTCAATGGAGCTAAAGTGTCAGTTCTGAGCACATGAGGACTAAATCAAAATGGAACATTAAACATCCCTTGCTCTTAATTTCTTTGAAGTATTGGGTATAGTAGTAAATGCACCAATGCATCTACGGTCTAATGGAAACAACCTCTCTGTTTTTACAGGGGCAAGACTGTGTACATCTTGCCCCTCAGACCCCAACAGAATTAGGATTATACTGGGTCGTTGTTGTAGTATATGGAACTTAAAAACAAAACAACAACCTAGTAATGTGCCATTATTGGGGTTTGGGGAGGGTGAATGGAGGAAGACCATACCCTTACCCAAAAACATAGAGAGGTTCTTTCACAAAAAAACAGCGGCTCAAGAACGGAAATTACAAATGCATAAAAAATAGAAATGAAAAATATGATCACCAACTAAAGTGAATGAGAGGTTACTTGTGATTTTTCTTAATGTCTTTTATGTTAGAAAGAAAAGTGTGCTCAACGAGTTCCTGTCTCTCCACACACTGAAGCGTGACCTCTGCAACGACTCCTAATCCCCCCAGTCCACATCGAGCTAGGTAGAAGAGGGTCGGATCTTTATCTTTAGAAATCTCTATTGTGCCCTTTGCAGGAGTAACCAATTTCATGCTGACAACTTGCTCGTCTATGGGAGGAAGCCTCGCACCAGTTCCGTGAGCACCAACCTACTCCACAGAACATTCACTTGATTAAGTTCCAGAATGTAACTCACTGTGTACAAGTTTTAAAATCAATTCAATAATCAAAATGCTACTCTCTTGCAATGGCATGTGAAGTCATCTAACATCCTAATACATAAACCAACTTATAGGCCATTGAATTATTCCTCCCATTACAAGTCTTAATAATGTACTCCATATAACAAATGAACCAGCAAAAGCACGCAAACGCAACAGTTTTATAATGCTATAGAATTGTATGGAAAAGAATTCTGAATTTACAAGCAACTCACTTGAATAATGCCCCCAATTTGTTGCTCCCTTATAGATGCAAAATTCTGCAGAGTGAGACCATATTCCTTAATAGCATCAACAAGCTGCTGAACCCTAATGCCGGCTTGCACCCTAACCCTCTTCTTCTCCCTGTCCACTTCCAAGACTTTATCCATCAATCCCAAATTCACCATCCCAGCCCTTGTCAGCCCGATTCCATTCGGGGACAAACCCGAGCCAACTGGCCGGATTTTCTGCTTTTTCAGGTTACAGTCTTTCACAACAGCTTCCAGCTCTTCCAGAGACTCGGGCTGGAAGAAATTCCGGGTCTGGACCTCGTGAGTCCCGCTCCAATTGGTGACGGTGTGGAGATCATCGGGCAAAGGGGCGTAGCGGAAGAGCTGGGCCTTCTTGTGCTTGGCGTTCTCGGGGAAGGGGAATGAGTAGTAGGTGGCGGCGGCGCAGCCGAGGAGGAGCGCGGTGTAGCCGGCGTACTTGCGGAGCTCGGCATCGGAGGAAGGGGGCTGAGACGAGAGGGAACAGAAGAGGCGCGGGTGGATGAGGGGGTTGTCGGAGTCGACACGGCGGTGGAGAGAGCGAATGGAGCGGCGGAGGTGGTGAGATCTGAACATTTTCGGAGTGCGAACTGTGGAGCTGTTTCACCTTCACTGTAATGGAGTTCGAGCCCGATTATTATTTCACTGTGATGGAGTTTGGGGAAATTGTATGGCACCCAAATATTATACGAGCAAGTGTTTTTCACTATTTAACTCACGCACAATTTCCATGTCTCTTATTTTATACGAGCAAGTAGAGCTGGCAAATCGGTCGGTCAGGTCGGGTTCGGGTTCGGTCACTTTAAGTTCGGGTTATTTCGGGTTCGGGTCAATTCGGATTCGGGTTGAGAATTGTATGTTCATGATCCAGTATCGTCGGGTTCGGGTCGACCCAACGGGTTATAACTTTGATTTTTAAAATTTTTAAATTCACATTACCACTTACATTTTCTATTAAATAAATTTAAAATATCAAAAAAAATGTATTAAATCTATAAAATTGATTTATTTTAAACTCTAAAGTAATTTTTTAGATATATAAATCAATATAAGAAATTTAAAAATGCTTAAGTTTTGGAAAAAAAGTAAGATAATTATGCAATATCATTAAAATTTTCTCTGCAAATATAAATTTGTACACTAAAAACGAGTAGTAAAGTGTATGATTTTGAAAAATTCTTACTTTAGCGGGTCGGTCAAGTCGGGTTCGGGTTCGGTCGGGTTTGACCCATTTTAAGCGGGTCATTTCGGGTTCGGTCAACTTCGGGTTCGGTCATCAAAACCATTGTTCAAAACCCAGTGTTTTCAGGTCGGATTTCGGGTCAAAAACAGGTCAGGTCATTTTTTGCCAGGTCTACGAGCAAGTCTTCTCCTCATTTGATTTTTCTTAGTTAAAATTTGTAAACTTTGACTTAATATGTGGAAAAAATACATTGTGTTACGATATAAATTTAATATGAATATATTCATTTTGAAATATAGTTTTCAAATATCAAGTTTTTATAAAATATATTGATACATAAATAAAGATATTAGTAGTCAAAGTATAATCTGTAAAAAGTCAAATGAGAAGAACATTTTCGGACGAAGGAAGTATCTGAGTTAACTTCATCTTTATACTTGTATATATATAGTGGATTGTGATTAATAAAATTCAAAACAGTTTACGTCAAATTTCTAGATGGTACTATAAAAGTCCGGTCCAGATTCGAGTCTTCTTGGCTGCGTTGGATGTGAGTTTAGCAATATAAGCTACCGGTCTGTTGCTTAAGTTGGGTCGGCTATAAGAGATTGAGCACTCATTAATTGTAACTTAATGTACGTTAGAAAAAAGTAGCATCAAACAATGTGAGAGTGGATTGAGTCAAAGTTGGCGTGAGTTTGAATTCATCACACAAATTAAACCTGGGGGGGGG